GAAGGTTTGATCTGGAAAAGCTTGCTATGAAGTTGCTATCCCAAGTCGACTGCCAACTGGCGCGAAGACGTGCCTTGAAAACAGGACCGTAGTCCATATATGGGACAGGCACAGCTGTGACAGCACCAGAGCAGATGGACTTAGATGCAGTGTCAGCGAGTTCTTTCCCAAATATACCAACGTGGTCAGGTATCCAAAAAAACTGGATGGAAATAGGAGAGAGAGAAAAAATGAGCTAGTCATTGTTGAATTAAGCAATTCCAGGGTCAGTAGAGAGCTAAGAGAATCACTGTAAATAGTACAATTGCCGTATTGCATAACTTCTACATGATCCAGGGCAAGAGAAATGGCATACAACTCGGCAGTAAACACAGAAACTGTAGAGGGGATCCTGCAAGCAACTACTAAACCACAGCAAACCATGGCAGAGCCAACAGAGTCATCTGATTTTGAACCATTCGTGAAAATGGGAATAGAAGGATGGTTTGAAAGATGTTCAGTAAAGAGAAAATGGTACTTCCAATCGGGAGTATCCGCCTTTGTCAGATGACTCAAGGAAAGGTCACATCTGGAGATGGTAATAAACCATGGTGGATACAAAGGCCAAAGGAAGGAACTGCAGACTGTCTATTCTAAAACAGTATGTCCCACCGAGGAAGAAAGACACAACCCCAAGTGGGATGCTGTGGTAAGTAGCGAAGCTTGGTAGTATACTGTAGAGAAAGTTGCAAACGGCAGAGGTCCGAGGGACTCAGAGAACAAACTCTGAACTGGAGAAGTGCGGAAAGCCCCATACAGAGCCAAAGCCACAGATTGTGAATGGAGTCCAGCTTCTTCAAGGCCGAGGTCTTGGCAGAACCATAGACCCATAGTCCAGTTTGGATTGAATGAGGGCATGATAGATCTTGAGCATAGAACACTGATCCGCTCCCCAGGAGTGGAAGAGAGGACACGGAGGAGTTCAGTGCCCTGCTACACTTGACATGTAGCTGCTTTATGTGAGGAATGAAAATAAGCTTACGGTCAAAGATAAGCCCCAAGAACTTTGCCTCAGAGACCATGGGAAGAACACCACCACCCAGACGGAGCTTGGGATCAGGGTTAAGACCCCATTGGTAGCAAAAATGCATGCAAACAGTTTTGGAAAAAGAAAAGGTAAAACCGTTTGCTGTGGTCCACTTCAACTAGCAATTGAGGGCAGTCTGAAGCTACCGCTCAATAAACCTTATGTTTGATGCCAAACACAAGATGTGGAAGTCGTTGACATAGAACCCATTCGCAACAGTAGGAGGAAGTTGTGTAGTGATAGCATTAATGTTGATGCTAAAAAGCGTGAAACTCAAGACACAACCCTGAGGGACTCCAAGTTCTTATAGAAAAGAATGAGCAAGAGTCAAACCCATACGAACTTGGAATCACCTGTCCAGTAAAAATTTCTGAAGAAAAATGGGTAAATGGCCACACAACCCATATGAGTGGAGGTCCCACGTAGTGTCATAAGCCTTCTCAAGATCAAAGAACATGGAAACAAGATGTTCTCTCATGACGAAGGCTTCCCGATTTGACATTTCAATTCGAATCACGATGTAGAGCTGTTGACGGAACCTTCACTAGGTGGGTAAGAGGAGGTTGTTTGAATCAAGGGACCAAACAAGACGAGCATTAATCATCCTCTTGAAGACCTTACAGAGACAGCTAGTCAAAGCAATTGGATGATAAGTAGCAGGAATCTTGGGATCATTCCCAGGCTTAGAGAAAGGGAAAACAATAGTCTGGTACCAATCTGTAAGGAAAAACATTTTCCTGCCAGATCTGGTTAAAAACAACCAGAAGAATAGCAAGAGATGCAGGATAGAGATGGTGCAGCATCTCATAATGAACATCATCAGGTCTGACC